TCACTATGTGTTTAATGAGTTGTTTACTGGAAAAAATTAATATGTTTTGTTTAATATATGCACAATGAACGTGCTCTCTCTTATTTTTGACCTCGCTTTTTCTTAGAGACAATTAAAAATTGACTTTTTAAGTCCTAAATTTTGCCGAAAAGACAAAGGATTAGTTTTTAATTATAAAGTTTAATATGATTGTTAAAATTACGGTCTGAGAATGGTCGTATTATATTTTTGAACTTTTTATCCCAAAAGTTTAGTAAATCAACCGGAGTTTATTATCCTCTTGCGCCGAGAAATGTTAAGGAAAGTGCTCGAATTGGCAGACAAATTATAAAAAGTACCAGACGAAACGAAAATAGACTTAATAGACAATGGTATGTGTACTGTAGAAATCCTTTCACGATAAGTAGAGTTTATATACAAAGAAAACTCCAAGAGTTTATGTAGTCTACACATGACATTGTGACTTGAATTTTCGATTTTTTGCAAATAAGGCTATTTGGAAAATAAGATATAAAAAGGAAAGCATATAAACTACTTTGAATCGTTCACGCCTTCATAATACAGGGTGTCCCAATGAAAAGTAGCCCACTTCCAGAGCTTATAACTTTTAAACAAATCGTAGAAACGTGCGTTTTTTGCTAATATGTGTTATTTTGCTATAAGTTTTGCTTCAGTAACACAGAAATTATGTATTACCTATACAGGGTGTTTTTTAAAAATGTCGTCTTTTAAATTCACCGTAACCAAATTTTATCAAATGGAAACGGGCTACTTTTCATTGGGACACCCTGTTATTAATCCAATAGTAACTGGGCACTCATCAGACAGGCATCTTTTTCATTTGCAAATGTTTAAGCAAAATAATATTTTTGCAATCTGTCGATATTAGCCCAGTGAACATTTTTGAGAACTTATTTGTAGTTAGTCTTGCTATTGGAATTGATGATACAAAAATCGAAACAGATACACTTATTTTGACAGTATTAAAACTTCGTGTACTTATAGAGCTTATCGAGGAAATTAAGTATTTCATCTTTTCTCATGGATTCATCAGTCTGGTGAGGGTTTTATAATGAATCGGATGATCCAAAAATAAGCTTAATTCCTAGACTAATACCGTATTTTACTGCAATAAAATGGTTTTAATTTTTTTAGTCGATTAATCTACATACATTATTATGTTTAAAAAAATCAGTGGCGTGCTTTTTTTAATGTCCCTCTCGGACGTCACTGGACTCAATAATTTTAATCCAGTCATATTTAAATTATCCTCTTAGTACTGCAAACAAACCTGCCAAGTTTAATCAAAATAGTCAAAAGGGCAATTGAGATATTAATAAAAAAACTATTTTTTTTAAACATTTATTATGAGCACGTGTTTATATATTTTATTTATAAATTAGGCCATATTATTCATTTTGAACACTTGTTTAATATCAAGGGATTTACACAATAAACAAACTTGTTTGTATTCAAGTGTAATTGAATTGCGTTTGTTTTTACAGTATAATTCGGGTTATTTAATAATTATAAGTTACAATGCAAAACGAACGGCGCAATAACAATTGTTTGTGTATCAGGATTAGATAAAGACGCAACAAAACTTCATTTTATAATATTATTTGTTGTTTGTTGTATTTACTCCCATTTTCACTCGGCCTTACTTATTCATTCATTTTAGTTTTTCAAAATATATTGTGCTGTATTGATAGAAATTCAGTTTCTGTTGATATGACATACAGATTATAAAATCGCCATGCGTTACCGTCTCGATGCTGGTGGGTGAGGTTTTCCGGGTTTTCCTCACCTGTAAATCAAATGGCACAATCAATCATCTTTAAGTCACCCCGAGCGCCACGGCAAATAATAATAATAATAATAATAGCCGTCCCTTCCCCTACACAAGTCGTTCAGTCAACTTCAGGGGTTGAAATTCACTCGTAAGGGGGTGAATTAGGGAAAGTAATATTATTATTATTTACAATTTCGTTTGTCTATAGAAACAAATTTGTGCATAAATTGCATCCTCTTTGTATATGTTATCAATGGTAATACCACAAGAAGTGATAATTTTTTGAGAAAATTTTATTTCTTTGGAAATTTGCGTAATTTAAAAGGAAACAACAAAATGTTCTTAAAAAAAATTCTCCCCGTTATACGTCTGTTAAATAACCACTTACTGTAAAACTACAGTTATTTAAGTCCATTTAAATCCAATCGGGACTGAGGCTGCAGTGTTTTCAGATGCAGTTTGTTTAGATTGGCGTGTATTGGAAGCAAAGTAAACTGTATTTTAAATCATTTTAAGAGTATCCGAAAAAAGAATTCGGATACTTGTATCCGAATACATTTTTCGGTGAAAGTAACCGTACTTTTCTAAAAATTATCCGTATCTGGTACTTGGAATACTTTTTTCCTGAATCCGACTCAGCCCTGGCTGTCAATTAACAAAGGAAATATATTCCAATACTCATTACTCAAATGTGGCCAATAATTGATCACATTTGAGTATTGGAATTTATATCCTTTTTTTAAATGTATTTGTTTAAATTCTACTTATTAAGTTTCAATCATATGCACTTAAAAATTCCTTGTGAATATTCATAAATTTAGTACCTATATAAAATTCGAATATTATCTAAAACATAATTTGAAAAAATATCTAATAATAGCCAACCGTCTTTGTGGAAAGCGATTGTGTTGCAAGAACAATAAAAAACGTTGATAGGTAGGCCCTTTTCAGGTACGTGTACTTCAAAGTGCCCTTTAAGTACTGGTACTTGTTTTAAAGTACTTAAAACACATGTATAATTTTTGTCCTTGAACCCGGTACTTAAGTATAGTCGAAACGAAATTTGCTCAGAATCGGAAAAGATTATTTTATAAGAATTTATTTATAAATAATAAAATCATACATCAATAATTACATATATAAACAATTTTTGGATAACATTATTTGGATAGCTTATTATTTTTGTTACGTTAATTTTGGTGTTTTGAAAAAATACTATCAAACCAAACAAAAATAATTTCATGTTTCGAAGTAACATTCCTTCATCAGATGTGTCACGTTTAATCTTTGTTTAAATAAAATTATTTTTGTGAAAATCTACCATAGTTTGGTTTTTCCTAGTATTAATTATGGATTCTTATCAAGTAAAGGCCGAAATAATAAAGAATACTATTAATATTTAAGGTGTATGGCTTTGGCAGAAACTAATTAGCCAAAACTCATTTATAAATATGTAAAATAGTGTTTCGCATCATGTTTGCTAATTTTCTTACTGATAATAAAGATCAGGTAAAAATTTGTATTCTATTACTCCTTCATAAGTTTCTATGAATCATAATCAAAGTCAAATACCTTTTAAAAATCCTTAAGAACCTCTTCTAAAATTGCTTAAATTGAACGGAAAATGTTAAAAATTAGTGATGAAAAAAAAAAACTTTAAAAAAAGCGTTATTTTTTGTTTTTTATGAAAAAAAAAAAAAAACAATTTATGACAAGGACAAGTGTCGTTATACAAAATGTGTTAAAGGCACTATAGCAGCATACGAACTCCAAAGTTAGACCAAAATACTTCCAGGCACAAGAAAAATAAGTTATTTCTATTAGAAATGATATTCATCAGGATTCTGTGCTAATTGTTGGTTGGAAAAACTTTTTATTGCAAGATCCATAAACTAGACACTTCAAGCTTCAAATTGCTTTTTTTTTTTCATTCACGTACGACCATTTTTACCAAAGATACAGCCACTTGAAAAATCGCAAAAAATCGAGATCTTTTTTTGATCCCTTAATTTTTTCCACTAGTGTATAAGATACATAAGAAATAAACTTAGAACTAGCTACATCTTAACTGAACCTGCATAGCCAGTCAGATTTCCTAGTTTTATCTTTGTGATCGTAGGAAAAATGTGTACATCACTGGTGTAAAAGTGGTGTTTCCTACTCGGTGAACAAAATTTTTTTTATTACTAAAGGTGTTACTTACCAAAATAGGGGAAAGATTAACGGATTGCCTAACTGTAGGGGTTATAAATAGCAATTTATTTTATCGGGAATTGAACCTGGCTCTCCAAAGTTTAGTACTTAACGACCTAAGCCATGAAGACATATAGCATCGAACGCGCCACCGATGCGCTGGTGCGTCTGCAGCAAAGTATTTCCATCTTCTACAAGACAAAAATGAAAGAAACATTTTTAAATCTGGCTTGTGCAAATGTGTACAAAAAAAGTGTCACTGACTCCCCTGCCAATTAAACAATTTAAGTAATTTGGAAAAGTGCATTTAAACAACTTTTTATAATTTTGACTATAAAGTAACGTTTTTGTAATAGCAGGTCCCACAAATATTCAATCGTTACATAAAATAAAGCATTTCGCGACTGGTTTCGTAAATAGCTATTAAAAAATTATTATAATAAATTCGGAATACGCTACTGCATTCTCCTTTTGTCTTAACGGGTTGTAGATGGTTAGTTTTCTGGTTTTATGACTGCTTAGGCTAAGTATACACATATACTTAATACGTAAGACTTAATTATTGGCTTTTAAGTACTACTTACAGTAAATACTTCAGTACTTAAATTTTTTCGGTATTGTTTTTATTGTACTTAGTTCTAATTTTTATTGATACTTGCAACAATTCAACAATCTGGTTCTAAATAAATTATGAGGAGAACAAATAAAAAAAAACTTTATAACTTTAAAAAATATTAAAAACTAAGAGATCTTTATTCTTCATTGCCCTGCAAAAGGACTACAACCGACTCAGAATTTTGACAAATAAAAATTACTTTTTGTTTGTAACAAGTAGTTTCGATGAAATTAATATGAAGTAATCAATTTGAAATAATATCATTATTAACTGTATCTACTTTTGGCCGGATTTTGAATGTAAACACACCACAGTGCGACGTCGATAAGAAATTGTGTATTTATTGCGCTAAAATCCTACAATATGAATGTGGTTATTTATAGTTGCTTTTAATTTGTAGGTGGTACAAGCTGGAAGACAATGTAATAATCAACGGATACTAGTAGTGGAGTTTGAAGCACTTGCCAGAGAAATTTGTAAATAACATGTTGATGATTAAGAAGCGTTACGTGCTCCTCACAAATTTGTCACAATGCTATTTGTGTCTAACGCTGACATTATATGAAACAGCTTGCCTAGCTAATTTACCCATGCATAGGGGTCCCCACTGATGGCCGTAAACGGCACAACCTTAACGGCCCGGTTGCGCCGAATTTTTGGCTGGCAAACTTCTGGCTGCTCTCGTCTCACCAAGACTATTCTCAACTTCAGTTTGATCTGCATCATTCTACTGGGATTTTTGCATCCTGTTCTAGCCGACGACTTGATTTCGGACTCCATCGACAAAAATGACGCACGGCGTAGTAAGTATCTTTATTTTTTTTATAATGTATAGAGGGTGACCTAAAAGTACTTCGACAAACTGATTGAGGTAACTATTGGTGTTATTTTAAGACGAAAACTTTTAATAAGTATGGCTTCGATGTTAAGATATAAAATATATACAGCGTAGCCACTTTTTAATTCAAATACATATATGTAAACTGTTGGTAACACAAAGTTGGTTAAATGGGGAAAAAGTTGTATATTTCGAAGCCCAATCTAAGGACGTTCCGATAACAAAAATATCAGAATCGGTTTCCGAAATATTTGATAAAAACAAAGTAGCTCCATTTCTTTATTCCACTACTTTATGTTTATTTACAAAATAGACAGAATTAATTGGTTTTTGGTTTTATATCAACGGTTTACTTTTTAATTAAAAAGTGGACGCTTGTGTCTCGGTAAACGGTAGATATCAAGCATTTTTTTAAAAATAATTCTGTTTCTGTTATTTAATATTTAATTGAAATACTAGTATCAAAAAAATTAAATATTTGTTTTTAGTATTTTTTTTTTTTGTAAGGGGTATGTCATTTAGCCAATCACAATTCGTCTATAAGAGACTCTAACTAACTGAGGAAAGAGTTCTTAGTAATTCAACTGAATTAAATATACATAAAAAAAATGTAAAAGTTATAAAAGAAAAAAATATAAAAAATCAATGAATAATTCAAATATTAATCCAAAATTCCATATAGACGCCACTGGTCAATTTTAAAAAGTAATTTGTTTATAAAATAAATACTGTCTTTAAATGCTTATTTCCCTCGTACCAAAAATCATAAAAAATCTGAAAATAACTCCAGCGTGCACTAACATATTTTAGAAGTACTTTTACGACATCCTGTATTTCGATTTTATCAGCCATTTTGCCGATAATCATTTAGGTTTTAACTTTATAGGGTTTCTCTTATATAATTCTAACACAATGGTACCCAAAATATTTAAGTTTATTGATAGATCACTGTTTATATTCAAAATTATATTGACAAAAGTTTTGTTATTAATAAGTGACAATTCCACAGTGTTGTATTATCGCTGTGGTACATGCGAAACAAACTTATTTCGATACAAATCATTATCTACTGTCTTATGGTTCACGTTCTAGATATCGCTTACACTTTTCATTATTTTTCAAACGTCGGAATCCATAGGTACAATATAAGCGCTTCCATCGTCCTACCGATTGTATTTGCCGAAGTGTTCACTTCAAAACTTTCAGTGAAATGAGCTCTCCACTGCGCTTCTTAATTTCAACGTTAGCGAAAGACCTATTGAGTACACCACCCCATTTATATTCATGTATTGCGTCACTTAAGCGACACCTTGAATAAAAACTCGTAACTTGGTTCCATATACAAACATAAACATTTCCAATGTTAAGAGGCACAGATATGTTATGTAAGAACATAAAAATAGTATATTACTTAACGAGCAAGGAATTGTACTCATTTAGGAAATTGTCAGTCGAATACTATACTTTTTCTATGGCTATAACACGCTGCTGCCCATTTTTAATTATTTTTTATAATTAATACATTTAAAACGATAACTCTCTTCTAGATAATTATTTGACATTTCATGACACACATCATTTTATTAAAATAATTAGGAAATAACTTTGTGTTATCAGATAAGGACCTGATGCGGAAATTATTATTTTGTTAGTATCAGTATTTTCAAATAAATAAATGTACCTCATTTCTTAATCAACAGTGGTTGAGAAAGTGTAGTTGTACATTATAACCGTAGAAAAAAATTAATTTTGACTCTTGAAATGCGGAAAAGATTTTTATTATTAAGGAATTAAAAAAAGAGTATTACAGAGAAATTTGCTGGCGAGATTTAAATTTAAAATGTTGTGCCTGGAATATTACCTACTGTGGAAACGTTCTATTAAAATTGAATGCAAGCAATTTAATACGGCAATATCCATGAAAAAATAGAACGCATTTATATTAAATAGAAAGTGTAACGTAACGGGAAAAACCGTGGGCTTACTATTACATTGTATTTCAATGAAATATACATTTTGACGCAATTTTCGCAATAAAAGTTGTTATAAACTGGTCAGTTTTATTTTGAAAATGTTATGAATGGTTTAATTTTAAAAATTTAATGTCTATATAAAAAAATATTTTCCGAAAAAGTTTTTTAATTCAGTAACTCTCATAATTCTAAATCAGTGCAATATTTTCGACAAATTCATTGTTGTTTTTTAAATTACTTGTTTAAATATAGAAAGGAATGTGATTGATTAATTAATTGCTGACATTTATATCAATTAAATAATTAAATTAATAATTAATACAAATTTTCATAATTTTAATGATTGTCATAAAATTAAAATATACAGGATGGCCTGAATCTCATGAACTAAAAATGATATCAGAAAATGCTAAAAAGCATTTCTAGGATAAGAAGGGGACCTTAAATGACAAAATATAGTACTTGACCCCACCAACCCCTTATGCGTCACTTACCACAACAACAAAAAATGGCGTTCCTCTACTTATCATACATCAGTACTGTTCAACGATATTAGTTATATCATATACAGGGCGATTCTATAGTACATTATAATTAAAAACCTATTAAAAAGAGAAGAAAGCACGCTTTTTGAATTAACGATTTTTAATTAATTTAATAAACGGTAAAAATGATTTCCATTGTTAGCTAGACGAAAGTAAAGTCTATTTTTAAATTCACATCGAACGTTGGTAAATTTTTTGTTACGATTATTATGGCATGCCTGCAAAATTCTTTATTATAGTTTTCTCATTTGTGGCGGGTTGGGTTTGGTACACTTTCGATTTGAGTTAAAAAAAAATCCGGTGGTGTTAAATGTGGCGATCTAGGTAGCCATTCAATAGTTTCTTCTTCCAATCAATTTATTAGGTTAATTATTGTCTAAACAACCTCTGACTTCAGTAGCATTGTGTGAGGTGTTAGAAATGTAACAAAAAATCATCTAACTCCTGTACTGAAGATTCAATAGTGTTTTCAAATATGTCAAGATATACCCGCTCAGAGAAATTGTTTAAGGGTACTCTTGCTGCGTTTGAGAATCCACATCGGATGCATTTTTTACATCTCGAGCGTTTTTTTATCCACATCGGACACATCTGTCCCATTACATTTACGTATACTGAATCACGTGATCAAAGATTTTTTACATCTCAGATGCATCCGATGTGGATTCTCAAACGCAGCATATGTATGCCCTTCTTTGAACAGATGTGGGTTCACATCACTCCAGTAACGGCAGTTTTGTTTGTTCACATTTCTATTTAAATAAAAAGAACATTAATCAGATAATCAGTGAAATAGATATTCTTTATCAATTGTGATTCATATTTATTTTGTTGGTCATTCTTTCACAAAATTCAACCCGCCTATCTGGGTCACAGTGGCGTAGCCAGAATTTTGTCAAGAAGGGGATTCATATATCTCAGAAATCCTAGATACAGCATCGTGAACAAATTTGGACTCCCAACATCCTGGGTTTTCATGTGGTACTACTGATGAGACCGAATCGTTGGTATACAGAGTATTTAAAACTTTTTAGTTGTAGTATTAGTCCAGGAGATAATGAAGTTTTTTGGTACTTATTTTCCCAGTCAGGAAACATCGATAGAATTATTCGGTTTGTTATTCTAAGTAAAATTCATATGAGGGGGGTTTCCGATGGCTAATCTATGAGTATGGGTAATATGTCTGGCAGGTGAAAAATTGGAAAAAATTATCAAAGCCATTGACCTTATTTTCGTAGTCCTTAAAAATTGTCAGATGATAGTTTATATTATAATTACAGCTGCAAATATAGTCTGGCTAATGTGGAACATCCTCAAAGCCTTGCCAGACTCGCCCAACGCTCGTCAGGCGCACTACATTCGGCATGTTCAATTATACAGGTGATTGTTGTCATCTCTACATGTTTTTACTTTTCATAATTTATTGCTATACATTGGACATATATGTTTATTTTGTTCCTGTCCAGCAGATTATGGGTGAAATTTCCAATTCCACAAATCACATTTTGTTGGCTGCAAAATAAACAAGATTTATATCTTAATGTTCTTATCCTGAAAATGTAACGTTAAAAAAAATTATTACCCCCCTCTGATTCCATATTTTCTTGTTAACTGCAAAATAATATTTAGTTTTTGTTCAAAATTAAAGATTCTGAAAAGTTAAGTAAATTAATTAGTGAATTACAAAACCACTAACCCAACTCAGATGTAGTAAATATTAAAATTGCTGTTGTATTAATTTTTTTCGTTATGCACTCAACAAAATTATACAAACTATAAGATGTATAGATTTAAAATATGCGAATAAGCGAATATTACCAAACCAACGAAATCTGAAATTTTGAAATATAAGGCATGGAAGAAGTTTAGGTTAGGTCAAATTCCAAAGTCTCCGACGAAATACGAACTGACACGATACTAAACGAAGAATCATTCGATCGGCCGGAGCATTATGAATTCTGATTGGCTGGGCATGTTTGCATTTTAATGTATGCTGACAATGGGGTCTATTCTGTAACAATTCCTTTATATTTTAACGACCGTTAAAATATTGGAGATCTTTAAAAATATTTTCGTATTTACTAAATTACTTCTGTATTTAAACGGATTCCTTTAAAATACACTAGAGGACTATTTTAAAGAAATCCGTTTAAATAATGGCAGAAGTAAATTTGCGAATACGAAAATATTTTTAAAGGTTGCCAATATTTTAACGGTCGTTAAAATATAAAGGAATTGTTACAGAATAGACCCCAATGATGCATAGGAATATAAGGGATTAGAGCGTCGTTACCTAAATACGCACCTACCTCTTCCTCTCCTCATTCAACTGTCTTACTTATGAGTCTGGCGGTGCTTTCGTGATTGTAAATGACAGCCAGATGTGTATTTTCTATGAAATTATAGTATTATTTATCATGTGACAAATTTTTAAATCCGGGAAAATA